AGGATTAAGGTAAGTATAATATAAAATTATTTTTATATTATTATATTTATCGGGTATATGATTAATGTGCAAATATTTAACTTTATAGAAAGAGGTATTTATTGTATCAAATTTTGATCTTTATTCAATATATCAAATACGAAAAAAATTAACTTGAGAAGTATAGAAAAATAATATATTAATGAAGTTATTATCACCATTAAGAAAAAAAATTAACAAAAAATATAAAGTTGTATTTACAGATATAGTACAAATGTTACAGTGACACCATAAGTCTCAGTATCATGAATATAATATTAAAACCAAAGATGAAGACTTTGTAAAAAAAATTTTAAACATGTGACAAAAAATACAGCAATAAGTAATATAAGTTTTTTTTTTAATTTATAAATTAACACATATATCAGATATGATAAATATATATTTATATTTTAACAGAAAAAGAAAAAAAGAAGATGGGCTATTGATTTCACGAGAAAGAGTAAGGACAAGTATATAAAAAGATATCTGAAGAAAAATCTTGAAAAGATTTTAAATAATATCAGATATTATTCAGAAGAATAAGAAGAAACAGATGACAAGGTAAGTTAATATTTTTATTATTTAAATTTATTTATTAATTTTAATTAATAATAAAAATAAAAAAATATTACAATATTTACAATATTAGAATTAACGACAACAATAATAACAACAACATCATTATTATTATCAGCAATAGCGAGAACAACATCGTCATCATCATCATCAGAAGTAAAACCAACAATTATAGATAGTAATTATGATAGTAATAATGATGATGATTATGACAATGATGATAATGAAAATGATAATGAAAATAATAATAATAGTAATAATAATAATAATAACAATAATAATAACTATGTTCTGAACAATAATAATGACTATAATAATAACGATAATGCTACCTTTATTATAAAGAAAATTTTCATATATGTGTATAAAAAATAGTGGAGATTAGATACAGTAAGTAAAATAATAATAATATTTTTTTACACCTATTAGGCATGTTATTAATATATATATTTTTTTAGTTATTAAAATTATTACATGAACAAATTAATCTGGTCGTAACTCGGATCTATAAAAAACAAAATAAATCAAGAATTAAAAATGTTGTATCAAAGATCTATCGAGAGATAAATTCTCTCAAAAGGATTCTTTATAGACACTTAACGAAGAGACGTTAATATCTGAAAATAGAGATAAAAGTAAAATAAAAATATATAATTAAGATACTGAAGAAGTGGAAGAAGAAGAAGAGGAAGAAGAAGATAATGATGATTATAACTTAATTGTGATTGATAAAGGAAAAAAAAAATAAAATTGAATATCATCATTATTATTATCAAAAATAAAAGAAAACATAATCACGAAACATCAAAGAAAAAAAATAAAAAAAATAAAAAAAGCTGAAGAAAATGAATAATTTTATAATGAATATTTAATAATAGTAATAATAATAATGGTAATAATAATAGTATATTTTTAGGACATTTGAATATTTTAAATTTTTTATATTTTTATTATAATAGTATATTTTTAGAACATTTTAAATTTCATACATTTATTATATACAATAATAATTATATTAATAAAAATAAATAGTTATCGGGTATATTATATATATATTATATAAAATTATATCAAATTTATGCAGTAATAAATAAAACTATTAATTTGTATAATTTATTTGAAAAAAGTATTCGAATACAATATGACTACTACACTTATCAGGTACCTGATAGATATAATAAATAAAAGTATTGGAGGACCAATAGGTGTAATAAAAAAATATCAGACACCTATCAGAGGAGAGAATATATCACTAATAGGTTCCCGATATTGAATAAAAAATTGGATACCCAATTGATATAAAAAAAATAGCTAAAAAATAGATGTCCAATATGTATAGTATATGTAACTGATAAGTTTCCAATAAGTGTCTGATATTAGGGAATAAGACGACACTTATCGAATACCCGATATATGTCAAAAAATGTATATCGGATACTTATCGAACACCATAATAAGTATCCGATAGGTATCTGATATGTCAGATTTTGACCAGTGAAAGTAACTTCCTAAATAAATCGTAACCAACACTCTCACGAACTTCCACTAGTGCATCATTTGTAATAGCTTTGCTAATCAGTCTTGGCCAATTCGCATATCGTTCTTCCAGTAAATCAAATTCATCATTCATTTCTAAAACATGTAACAGAATATGTGTATCTATTGCTCAGATATCTTTTTCAATATAGATTTTTTATTTTTTAACATGTTGAATTTCACGCCATTCATGTTGTCACTCTCATTCGTGTTAACAATAACTTACATCAGCTCGTCTAACAGCTTTTTATTACTTACACTTTGATTTATAATCATCTAAAATTACAATATCACCTCTAACAAATACAATCAAAAATTAGTACATACACCTAATAACTCGAAGTTTAAAATTTACATTTACATATTTAAGTATCAATTATCACTTAATAGAATCACAATACTAAAAGCAATAGAATGAAAAAAATATTTTCTTATACTTGAACAAATAATGGATACAAAATAAAAATATTTATTTTTATTAAATAAAAAATAAATAACTATATATTCAAAAATTCACTATTACAAATTAATTACACATTAATTACATATTGAATAACAATCAATTTACAAATTCTAATAAAAAAAACTAAATGAAATAACCAAAAAAATGTAATCACAATCACATTAACGAAAACTACATATAGTTAACAATTAATAAAAAATGATAATTTTTACTAAAAAAGTAAATTCCACCAAAAAAAGAATTTTACACAAAAAGTAGAAATCAGCATAAGTGACATCAATAAAGTTGAATCTATCCATCCCTCCCACATTTCATGTTACACATAAAACGTGATCGTACTGGTAAAATAATATTTTATTAAGCATATATAATAAATTTCATTTATATATAATTATGATTTGTACCTTGAATACAATATGCCTTACCAAAATCATTACCTATAAATTGTATATGGATACTAAAACAGGGGAGTATATTGCACGGAAAAACAAAAAATGATTTTTATATTTTATTATTTTTAAGAATTATTTTTTTCCAATCATATGACTAGAATAAAAATGATAGCTATTAAGCAAACTATTAATTACTATTATTCTAAAATATGATATTTTAAAAAAACCAATAACTATAACCTTTAAATTTTTTATATAATGGTTAAGCAAACCCTGCTTATGACCCTTATTATAATATTTTGGGGGTCCTAGTATGCTGAGAAATTTTTTGTTATTACTGAGGCTGAGAAAGCCATGGGATGCTTCTGTGATGATTTGGAGAGAGATATATGCCTTTATCGTGGAGGAATAGAAAGGAATGAAGATACCAGAGAATATCATAAATTTTAACAGATCAGGAAAGACTGGTTGGTGAAGAGTTATTATGTTGTGGTGTACTAAAAAGTGGTTTAAGTACTGCATGGCTTGATGATCTAATGAAAGAATGGGAAGAAATCCACACTCCATTTATATGAATTTTTAACTAGATGCAATTATACATTTAAAATCATATAAGCGTGTTAACTTTTGGCCATTCCAGATCCACTGTTTTTCAGCTTTATATAATCATTTATTAATGTTAACATTAAAGTTAATGTGTACTAATTATATTGTGCAAACAATGAGACAAAATAAAATAATTTTTTATTACGCTATTTAAATCATAATATCATCAAAAATCGATTTTTTATACAAGTTAATTTTGTGCTCACCTCGTAAAGAATTAATTTTGAATTATCATAAAGATCAACCCACGACTCGAATGTTGATATAAAAAATAAATATTATCTACTTTTTCGTTCGTTTTTTATCCATTTCTTCCTCCTGAGCTTCCCCATCATTTTCATTGTCTACCAACATAATATCACGGGAGCGCTTCAGATTACACTGCCCTGAACCCACGTTGATCTTTGATGTTTCCTTGACTTCCAACATCATATCACTAGATCGCCACTGTCCTGAATCAAAGTTGATCTTTAATGCATATTGAGTTATTTTATTAATCCATTCCGGAATTTTCTGATAATCTTCATCTTTAGCTGTCTTGTATTTTTGCGGAGGAAAACTTTTAAAGATGTCTGATGGCACAACAAAGTATAGATTAACTTTATCCACATCTTTTATCCACGAGAGGAAACGATAGAAGTCATTAAGACCTTTTACCTATACAACCTTAGTTAGTATAAAAGTGATAGTGATAAACTGTAAATTCGATTATGTCTATTTCCCTACCTTTACGCCGTGATTCGTTGAGACAGTAATTTGGTACAAATCCAAAGTGTTGTTATCGTTATCAAAGCCAAAAGAATCAATCGATGCATATGTTTTTGATTTTGGCCTATTATAATAATCTTTACGTGCTTCATTCAGTGTCATGAACCAATTACACTCCAGTTTCTTGACATTTCTTTCGGTTGTCTCTGAGTTATGATTCAGACATCGCACCCTAAATTTGCCACCCTTTTGCAATTCCAGATGGGCAAGATCTTCGAAGAGATTGCCTCGAAATCCAGCAACACCTGGACATTTATAACTGCTCATGATAAAATCACGAACACTCATCCTTGTTTTAGTTTCATAGTTCTGGATTATTTGGTTAGATATCACCGGAGAAGCAAGACGACACACAGCTTTTTTTAATGTTGGATATACATCAAGGTGTACGAGTTTACCACTAGCTGTATCTTTAGGCATGCCTTCCTTATCAATAGAGTTTATGCAGTTTTCCAAATTGGCTTCAGCAATCAGAGTGTCGTATCTCTCCTGATATGTTTCGTCGTCCCATTTTAAAAGAATTGACCTGGGTATAGGTCCCCACTTTTCCAGAAGGATCCCGAGTAATTCAAACGTGAACTCCTTGCCTTCTCTATTTTTCTTGCCTTTATAAAGAAGAGTCCAAAGTGCGGTAATTTCTTCGAGTTCCCAAACTGGCATAAAATACTGGGTAAAACCACCCCATTTTACAGCCTCATTGAATCTTTCTACCTTTGGTGATGTGAGCAGGATCTTATAGGCTGAACAAAGTGTCATAGTATGTGCATCAGCAATGTAGTAGTTATCAGAATTATCTAGCGCCTCTTCAAACATGCCGAAATCCCCTTTTTGCACATTACCATCTGGCGAGAATCGATAGCATTTATTTTCATTACCTCTCCAGATAATTGTTGCTTTAGAATATTTGTAATGAATATAAAAGAGGAGATATAAACCAAAGTATGTCTTTCCGATACCAGGTGTACCAGTAATTGCGCAACCAATATAAGCTGGGCCACCCGCTTTACGATTCTTTTCGATTATCTCGAGCAACTGCAAGTAGCAATTTCGTATGAGAAGTTTCGATCCATATACGTGTTCGTTTCCGAGAAAGAAAGTGCCATCCGGTAAGCACAGAATCCCTCCAAAGTTTTCCATCAGCTTTGATGGCAATCGTATATTAGTGATCTTTCCATTGTTGTATAGCATGCCATCTGGATCAGTAATCACACCTTTATTTAACCAAACATGGTTTTTTTCGATTGTAGAATAAGATTCTAAACCATTTAATTCGTCTTCTTTCATATCTTGTGGTATCGGGAAAACTATTTTTGCATCGTTAATTTTTTTCCAAAATTCAACAACTCCGGCTCCAGCTGCAGAACCGAGAGCTATGAAGAAACAATTAGCCAACGTTTAAGAATTTCCAGATCAGCAACGTGATAACTAAGACAAACCTTGAGTTCCCAAGTTAGAAAACATTTCTCGCACGTTTGAGACCTCCCGGCTGATATTGACAGTTGAAACGGGTTGTTTGATTATTACATGGATATGCTTCTTTGGAGGTGTATCAGGCCAGTAATCCTCGATTTCATATGTTGGATCTAACTCATCATTATCTTGTAAAATTTGACTCTGTATAATGTCATTGCGATCGCTTCGGATTTCCACCTTCCACAGCCTGAGCTTATCTGCATCAATGCTAGTAAACTCTTTGGGCTTCTTTGCCTTGATAGCATCTTTGAGATCATCAATAGTATCGCTCTTGCTGGCCTTGACAGAAAAGGCGTGCATTGCTAAGTTTCCTTTAACAAGGCAGAAAAGTTTGATAGACATTGTAAGTTATTGTATATATGCAGTAAATGAAGAAAATACTGTATTTCGAGAAACGAATTTTTTATCTGATTAATCTGTGATTACACATGCAGATATACTATATACCACCTCGGGACCAAATTTTGGTGGTGATTATAAGCAAATGTGATATTACAAAAAAAACTATATATATCACATTATATAAAAAATATATCATTGGTGATTATAAATTTTTATATATAACTTTTATTAAATTTTATATTATTATATATAACTTTTATTATATTACATATAATCTTCCAATTCAATATTTTCATTCATTTCAAAATTTGAATTTAAAGTATCTACTTCAGTTATTTCAAAATTTTCATTCATTTCATAATTAGAATTTAAAATATTTACTTCAGTTGTTTCAAAATTCATATCTGTAGAAAAATACTAATTTTGTTCTAATACCATTTCAATCATTTGATCATCTGTTAATGGTTCTTCAGTAGTTATATTATTTTTATTAAATTCTAGTGGAATATCTATATCTAATAAAAGATTATTAATTTTATTTTGATTTTATAAATATTTATCTTGTATATTATTTTTAGCATTATATCTCATAAAATGTCTGTCTTGATTTAACAATTTGTAATTGTTGATTGTATTAATTTTTCCCAAGCTTCTTCAATAAAATTAATTGCTTCTTTGGCATTTAATTTGCTAAAATAATAATTAAAAAAATAATTAAAATAATTAAAAATAATTAAAAATAATTATTATTCTTATATTTATTAAATAAATAAATTACAATTTATCTATATTTTCATCTTTTTCAAATTTTTAAATAAGTTCACAACAATATAATTGTTTATATCTTAACTAAAATAAAAATAATATTTTATATTAATTAAATTTTCAGCATATTTAATTTTAAATAAAATTGTTTACAAGTATCCCACTTAGCGTGAACTATAACTACTATACATATTTCCAAAATTGATTTTGTATTTTTGAGGTATTTCAACTTTTTAAAATTTATGCAGAATTTATTCTATATATGGAAGTAAAAAAAGTATCCAGTTATATATATCTTTAATCAAAGAATAAATTTGAATGGTCAAAAAATTTTGAGATATAAGTAAAATAATTTCATCTTCTATAAAAAACTATTTCAACTTTTTTTTCCGAAATTGTAATTTTGAAACTCCAAAATAATTTTGCATGCAAGTATAATAACTACCTCAAAGATGACATGCAATTTGCATTGGCTTCGTCATTCGAGTGACGAGCATTTTGCATTTGTCTCGTCATAGATAAGATATTTATAGTCCACTTGTCAGTAATATGCTAGTGTGACATGTGATTTGCATTTGCTTTATCATTTGAGTGACATGCGATTTGCATTTGCTTCATTATTTGAGTGATAGATTAATCACAAAATATATGTTCTCTTATTTGATTGCTAAATTGTTTTCTGTTATGGAGGAGCATAGCGACTCTGGATACGAAACGTAACAGAGCATAGTTATTGTATTTGATTACTAAATTGCTTTCTGTCATAAAGGAGCATAGCGAGTCTGATATCATATTTAATTATTAAATTACTTTCTGGTAATTACAACCAATTTCCGTCATTGGCCTACATATCAAAAAATTATATCTGATGATGTATGTGCACAGGTCGAAATCCATATTTCAGGCATATATCAGGGACCAATCGGGTAGCTATCGGGGGGACCAATAGATATCCGA